GGTTCAAGACCAGCCTTGGAAATGTAGTGAGATGCTATTTCTACAAAAAATTTTTAAAATAGCCAGACGTGGTGTACACCTGTAGTCCCAGTTACTTGGGGAGCAGAGGTAAGAGGATCCCTTGAGCCCAGGAGGTCAAGGCTGCAGTGAGCCATGATCACACCACAGCACTTCAGTCTAGATGACAGAGTGAAACCCTCAAAGGTAAATAAATAAATAAAAATTAAAAAATTGAAATTGACAAGTTGGCAAATTCACCAAGTGGCATACAGTAAGCATGTACAGCTTTTCACGTCAGTCATACTTAAAGTGGTTTAAAAAGAAATTGACAAGTTGATTTCAAAATTTGTACAACAGTACAGATAATCTAAATATTTAAAGTAGTGCTGGCTGGGACACAGTGGCTCACACCGATAATCCCAGCACTTTGGGAGGCCGAGGCGGGTGGATCACGAGGTCAGGAGATCAAGACCATCCTGACCAACAGGGTGAAACCCCATCTCTACTAAAAATACAAAAATTAGCTGAGCGTGGTAGCTCATGCCTGTAATCCCAGCTATTTGGGAGGCTGAGGCAGGAGAATTGCTTGAACCCAGGAGTTGGAGGTTGCACTGAGCCAAGATCACACCACTGCCCTCCAGCCTGGTGATAGAGTAAGACTCTGTCTCAGTCAGTCAGTCAACAATCAATAAAGTAGTGCTTTCCTATAGAACTTTCTGTGTTGGTGATAATATTCTGTAGTTGTACTGTTCAATATCGTAGCTAGCCAAATGTGACTGTTGAGCACTTACAAAGTGGTTAGAGCAACAGGAACTGATCTTTTAATTTAAATGTAAATACTCATGCGGCTAGTGACTACTGTATTGAACACTGCAGAAAGTAACCCTGAAAATGAAAGACGTTCATACTACATGACGTTGAAACTTAGTATAAAGCTACAATAATTAAGACAGTGTGCTACTGGCATAAGAAATACGGATTAGTAGAACAGAGTGAGAGCTTAGAAATCAATCTATACCTAATGTGGTTTATTGCTTTTTGACAAAGATGGTAAAGCAATCCAATACAGCAAGGAATTTTTTTAACTAGTAGTGCTGGAGCAACTTGATATCCATATGGAATAAGATGAACCTCCAATTCCATTTTATACCATATACAAAAATTAATTCAAAATGGAATATAGACCTAGATGTAAATGAAAAAAAGTGAAAAACTTCCAAAGGAAAACAGGGTAGTTGTGGCAGATTTCTTAGAGGAGCAATAAAAAGTAATAACCATGAAAAAATAAGCTGATAAATTAGAATTAATTAAAATTTAAAATTTCTCATCAGACTGGGCACAGTGGCTCATACCTGTAATCCCAGCACTTTGGGAGGCCAACATGGGCAGATCACTTGAGGTCAGGAATTCGAGACCAGCTTGGCCAACATGGTAAAAACCTGTCTCTACTAAAAATACAAAAATTTGCAGGGCGTGGTGGCAGGCACCTGTAATCCCAACTACTCAGGAGGCTGAGGCAGGAGAATTACTTGAACCCATGCAGCAGGGGCTGCAGTGGTCCAAGATTGTGCCACTGCACTCCAGCCTGGGTGACAGACGGAGACTGTGTCTCAAAAACAAAAAATTAAAAAATAGAGTAAAATAAAATTTCTCATCAAAAGGCAAGACTAAGAAAATGCAAAGGCAAGCCAAAGACTTCAAGAAAATGTTTGCAATACATATATCTGACAAGTTTATTGTCAGATATATAAAGATCTCCCACAACTCACTGATTTAAAAAGACAACCCAATTCGGAAGTGCCCAAAAGATTTGAATAGATTCTTCACAAAGAAGATAAATGCTCAATAACACAGTATTATTAGTTGTCAGGGAAATGCAAATTCAAACCAAAATGAGATATCACTACACATCTTCCAGCATGGCTAAAAAGATTGACAATCCGCATGAGGCCTAGAATTAGACAGTTGAGTGGAGCAACTGGAACTCATACTTTGTTGGAAGTATAAAATCGTACAACCATTTTGGGAAAAGATTTGTCAATTTCTTATACAGCTGAACTTACACCACCATATGACCCAGAAATTCCACTCTTAGGTAATTACCCAAAAACAGATGAAAACATATATCCACAGAAAGATTTGTACAAGAATATTCATAGATGCTATCAACAGAAAAATGGTTAAACTGTCATATAAACAAATTCGTATAATCACAAAGTGGAATTATTGTGATTAACTGTCTCAATTTGCCTGGGTCAGAGTTTTCTAGAATGTGGGACTTCAAGTGCTAAAACCAGAAAATTCCTAAGCAAATCAGGAAGAGTTGGTCACTGTAATTATCCTCTCAGCAATAAGAACAGCTAACTCCTGATAGATTCAAAAATATGGATGAATCTCAAAAACATTCTGCAGAGTGAATGAAACATATAAGAGTTCATATTCTATGATGCGACTTACATGAACTTCTAGAGCAGGTAGAACTAAGTTGTAAAAACAAAAGCAGGGAAGTATTTCTGTTTGGTGTTTCGTTGTTGGGAAGGGGTGTGAGGGAACTTTCTGGAATGATGATCTATATTTTGTGGAGATTTAGGTTACACAGGTATATACATTTGTCAAAACTCAATGAATAGTAAAGGTTTCTGCATATCTGCATTCTAAAAGTATCTGTAAACAACTACTGAACTCTAATGTTATGGATACTGAGGTGTTTAGGAGTGAGGTGTAACTCTTTTTCACTTACCAGGTGTGGAATTTCTTAAAATGTATTATGTAGGTGTCAGAGACCTAAAGGAAAATCATTCCTTGAGCATTTCTCCTGAGTTGAATTGTTTGTTCTGACTCTATTTTAGGAAGGTTTTCTTCAACCTTTGATAACACTTTCCATGTTGCTTGATCCTTATTTTTCATTTTGTAATCCTGTATTTTGTGGGGTGAATCTTTTGTTTTCTAAATTAATGGGTGTCTTCATTGTTTTTATATATGTAATTTGATTAGAGGTTTTGTTTGTTGTATTAATTGCTTTGGTATTATTGAGTCTTTGTTTTTTTCTCACAACCTTTTTTTTGAAAGTTTCCATAGTGTTTACAAATTTAAACAGAGTCTCTGTTTTATAGCATGTTTCTTTCTGAACAATTGTCTTATTTCTCAACGCAGTACATAAAAACTTTTGCAGTTATTTTTGAGGATGGTAATTCTTACAGCATTCTGTTTTCTTGTTCTTGTTTCATTACTTTTCTTTAATAATACATTACTTCTAAAATTGGATCTAGACTGGTTTTAAATTAACTTTTTTTATTAACAACTTTTTGGATTCACAGAAATAAAATAGCATATTATAGAAAATTTTAGCATTAATTTTTTAAACTTTGCTAGTTTTATTTTTACACATATTTTTGTGATGGTGGTGTGTTAGCTCAAAGAAGGTACTGTGCTACTATCCCAGTATTTTTCAGGGTATCTTTTAGTTCTTGCTTTTCAAATACCTCGAAAATGAGCTGTTCTGAGGAAGTTAGTTATAATAATGGTTCTCAATCCTGCAAGAGCCCTGCAAGACCCAGTGCAATTCTAATAACAAACATTTTTAATTATCTGTTTTTATCCTGAAATTAATGGATTTTTAACCTACCTACACATGTTAAATTCAGTGTAATTGCCTAAATTGTAACATAAGGAGGAAATAAAAGGAGAGTAGTTAATAAATATTTTGATATGTTACTTTTGGAGCATAATGTAATAGATGTTTGTATTTAGACATAGAAACCAATGAATGGGGCAGCTACAAATGCAGACTGTTACAGGTGTGTTGCATGGATCACTTGTATACCACAAGCAGTATTGCTGTCAATGTCATAATTTTCTGAAATATTTGCACAACTGATAAAATTCTGAAGAAAACAAAGTACAAATTTCCTTCAGTTTACACATTCTATGTGTTTCTGGAAATTTTGGCATCTATTTAAACTATGCAAACATATACTTTGTTTATATTCAAAACAGAATTAGGTTCTGACTCAGGTAATTATAAACAGGTGTTTCATCTTCATGAGTGTCCAGGAGGGCATTTGAAAGTTATGAAAGCCAGAGGACAATTATCTTATGTGGAGGATACTCCTATGACTTGCAAGTCATCTAGCATCCCTGGACCCTGTGCACTAAATGCCATGAGTGCCCCTTAATCATTTTGACAACCCAACACAAATTTCCAAAACACTATATTGGGTGTTTCTCTACAGTGGAACTCTTTGGCAAGGATGTCACTTCTCAGAATAATGCTTTTAATACGTAAGATAAAATACATAGGATTGCAAAGAAAATGGATTGTATTGAAGTACAGACCCCAGGTTAAGAATCTCTGCAAAAGGTAACTACCACACCCCTCTCCAGTATACACACTCCAGTTGAGAATCGCTAAGTTGGAGGGGCTTTTTATATGAAGGGAAATGGTGAAAGCTATAGTCTTAAAATTTTATGAATTTGAAAGTACATGTGAGTGCCCAGAACATTTGCCACAAACATTATGTCATCAGTAGGGGACTAGCAACCACTCTCTAATAGAGTCTAAAAGAATGAAAGCAAATAGCATAGGAACTCTTATCTCTATTCTAATTTTGTATCAGAAATTAAGTGTATTAAATGGACTAATGCTTCTACTTTCCATTCTTTTCTCATTATGACTACCTCTTTGATTAACATCAATTAAAGTTCAGATCTTTTGCCAACTTGTTTATTCATATATTTTAAGGTAACCTTGACAGAACAAAATCTTCCAGCTGTTTGGCAAGTTGGCAAAGAACTTACACATATTAATTTACACATATTAAACACAAGCAGTCCTAGGAATTGGAATTGAAAAGCAAGATAATCAAGAGTTTATTTCAACAGGTGCTCACTTAATGCTTTCTAGGAGTGCATTGCAAGAGGTAACCGTATTGTATGTACATGAATAGCTTGTCATGACAAATGTGGAGAATACTAAAGATGATGATTTTTATTTGTTTTAGGGTATGTCTTTGTGCCAGACTGTCGTCGTGGGCTCTGTAGTCATTCTTCTCTACTCTTCGAGAGCTTGTTACAATTTGGTGGTGGTCACCATATCTCAGGATACATTAGAAAGTCCATTTAATTATGGCTGGGATAATCTTTCAGATAAGGTAAATACCTACCACATATTGCCAGTTTAACAATGTGATAATTAACTTACCCTCAACTAGGAGAACATTGTAGTGCTTGACTTACAAACACATTTATGGAACCTCTGTCTACTGTCAGTAATCATACTTAAAGCTTTGTGTTTAAAAATCACAAGTGTCACATATACGTGTGACATTTGAAATCATTCTTCACAGATAACTTCTCCCAAAGGAGTATTTTCTCTCTCTCTTTTTTTTTTGTATATAATAATGCCACAAACCTCTTGGTCATAAGCCAGTTTTACTAATTTTTGTTAATGATGGCATTCAAATATTTCTAGATAAATGAATTGCCTATTGTTAGCCAGTGAATGTGGTCTTTAATTTGTTAGGAGGAAAGTAACTCGCCACTGCCCAAGAACTGCATATAATCTTAATATTTGGTTCAGGTTTAGATGTTTAAATAATGGCGTTTCATAAAAATCTGGCTTTATCAGTCTTGATAATGGGAGAGAGCATTTGTAGTTCCTTGGGTGTCCAGGTATTTGTTATAATTCCCAGTACTCTAGCTATGCATATTTAACTTTCCAGCATTCCCATCTGCTTCCTTAATGTACATTTTGACATAGCTATGTGTCATATCTTTATGGTAATTTAGATTGGTACTGAATTTAAGGCATCCTGCAATACTATTTTTCATTTATCTTTCTAAAGTGAAAGAATTTTCACATGTGGTTCCTTGTGGCAGATTCTCTTTACTCCCTTTTCCATTTCCCTCTCCCAACACCTGATAGAATAGGAACAAATTTAACATATAGATTAGGTCCAATCGCATTTTTTAAGCAGAGCTGAGCTGAGTGAACATGTTACATTTTTCTACAGGTGTAAATCAGGGTAAGTGCTGTTATTTTGCCTGTGGAGCAGCTGGAACAGTAATGTCTTCAAAAGTCATTATGAGGCTTAAATATGAGATCACATCTTATTATCCGTATACTAAAATTGTCATAAATGGATGCATTGAAAAATTAACCACTTTTTATTCTTTGTAACTTCAAAGCATTTTATGCCCTTTAAAGGATAAGTATCATTACATGAGAAACCACAAAACACAGAAAAATTTAGAGTTTATGTGCTTGTAGTTGATACATTTTATCTTACCTGACTTGAAACAAGTTAACTGTGGAGGTGATTGCTTATACATTAAACAGGTGTAAAAATTCTCTGCCATACTCTATTTACAGGCTCATGTAGAAGACATAAGTGGAGAAGAGTATATAGTATTTGGAATGGTCCTTTTTCTGTGGGAACACGTGCCAGCATGGTCGGTGGTATTGTTTTTCCGGGCACAGAGATTAAACCAGAATTCGGTATGATACCATAATATTCCCCAGTGCTTGTTCTCCTATTTTTAAAAATTATGGAACATTTATATTGATTTTCTATTTTTGGCAAAGGTTAAGACTAAAAATTATTATAGATTCTTGCTTCCTTTCTTAGTGGAAAAGTAAAATCATCATATGCCATCTAATACTTTGTTCACAGGCACCTGCTGGCATGATAAATAGTCACAGTTACAGTTCCAGAGCCTACTTTTTTGACAATCCAAGACGATACGATAGTGATGATGACCTGCCAAGATTGGGAAGTTCAAGAGAAGGAAGGTAGATGTAACAAAGCCACTTAACCTGAATTAGTATTGAAACTGATTGAAAAAAACAAATCTAAGCTTTAACCCAAATATGAAAAAAGGTGATTTGGTGGTACTATGTCAATAAATAAGATTGGCAATATTGGAATTTAAAGCAGATGTTAAACCCAGGGTGGGACCTGCGTTATCAGTAACTACCATCTGACTTAAAGCCTATATGCCTCTGGGCAAAAAATGGTATAATTTTATATAATTTTGTTGGTTCAGAGCTGTTTGTGGGAGGAAATACTATTGTAGTGATTATGTATCTGTTTCCGTATTTTTTTTTTTTTTTGAGATGGAGTCTTGCTGTGTCACCAGGCTGGAGTGCAGTGGCACAATCTCGGCTCACTGCAACCTCCGCCTCCTGGGTTCAAGCGATTCTTCTGCCTCAGCCTCCCAAGTAGCTGGGACCATAGGTGCATGCCACCAGACCCAGCTAATTTTTGTATTTTTGGTAGAGACGGGGTTTCACCATGTTGGCCAGGATGGTCTCTATCTCTTGACCTCGTGATCCACCCGCCTTGGCCTCCCAAAGTGCTGGGATTACACGCGTGAGCCACAGTGCTACGCAAAATCCAGAGAAACCGTAGATAAAACTCTTCGGAAGCTTAACTGCCATAGGAAATGTCTCATGCCCTCCTTGTTTCAAAACTATTTCAAGTCCTTAAGTAATACACTATTGGCTGTGATTTGGACAAGGAGAAAAGCTTAATGCACACCTATATAGTGCCTTCAGCTTGATACATTTTCTGTAATCCTAACTTCATCTGGACAAGTTACATAACCTCAGTTTTTTGAGCTTTCTTTTCATCTGTAAGATAGGGATAATAGAACCTATCTGTCTCAGAGGTTGGTTGTGAGGATTAAGTGAATGTATATGTGTGTCTGCATACATATATACATACATAGATACCTTAGAGCCTAACACATACGGGCTACATTATTATTATCATCTGACAATCAACTTTTTCCAGTTCTGATGGTATTTATTCATTCTTTTGTAACATAATGTTATACAGAATCCAGGATATTAGATAAAAGTCATTAAATTTGTAGAAAGGCATTATGTTATTTGACAACATATTTCAGTATATTTGATTGCTAACTATAAAATTCATTGAAAATGCTAAAAATTCAAATGTGACTTATATTTTGATCATAGTCCTATGACTTCTTTGCCTTTTTTTGTTACAGTTTACCAAACTCGCAAAGTTTGGGCTGGTATGGCACCATGGCTGGGTGTGGCAGCAACAGTTACACAGTCACTCCCCACCTGAATGGACCTATGACAGATACTGCTCCTCTGCTCTTTACTTGTAGTAATTTAGATTTGAACAATCATCATAGCTTATATGTGACACCACAAAACTGACAGCATCACCAAGTCATGATTCTTGAGTTGTTTTTCATAGATGTGTATATTCATTGTGTTCAAATTTCATCTACATAAACATTCCATTATCTGTTGCAACTGAAAACAAAATCTGGAAGTTTGGCTGTGTTTGGTAAAGAACAGAGCTGTTATTTTTGACATAGTAAAATGAAGTAAAATGGAAAGTTTGGAGTAGGAGAAAAGAGAGATTGCATCTTAGGCACTTGATGGCCTCCAAAAATCCTGACTTTGGAACATCAAATGCATATGTGCACTTTTATCTTTGTTCTGAAAGAGTCACTGCAGTCCCCAAAGTCATATGCTAATGTTCACACTGAAATCTACTATATTGTACACCAAACTGGAAGGCAATTTTCCTATGAAAATCAAAGCCTATATATTCAATGGTATGCTCTATATGGAAATCTTAATAAAAATTTTATAATATGAACAGTACACAGAGTTAAGGAATAAAAATATATCATTCTTTATAAAAATCTTCTGAAATGTTAATCATTGAAGACAGTTCTTTTAAGCATAATTTTAAAATGCCGACTGAAATTCAATCATTTTAAACAAATGATAGTAGTAATCCATTAGTTCTGGCCAGCAGTGTTCTTTGGAGAGCCACAATTTCAAGAGGAAAATATGCCAGTGAAAATTGTGTGGCTACTTTGAGTAGAATTGGTCAATTGATTATTTTGTATACAATTGAGATATATGTAGGAGTTTAAACATAACTCTTCAAGAAAGCAATAGTGACTTTTGCATAGGGTGATGTTGGTAGAAACTTCTTGGGACTAAACAAGTTTAGAAATACATTTAAGAATTATTCACAAAATATATAATTCTAAATTAAAACAAATATATTTTCAAAAGCATTTTATTTATCTGAAGCATGATATAGCTGGTCTTACCTAGTAAATCAGGATTGTCCTCAGGTAAATGAAATCATGATACATTATTGCAGTGAAGTCAAGTGCAATATTTTGTGAGACATGTTAATTCCTCCTATGATTTTCACATTTTTATATCTTGTATATGGGAAAAGCCAAATTAAATTGAATTCAAATTAATTCCAGCATTAGACTAAATGAGCAACCTTAAGTAAATGTACGAACTAGGTAAGTATAAAACCACAGGTTAACAATATTGGAATACTTTTTAAATTATATTAAAACTGTCTTAAATGTCCCATCCTGAATCTAAAAAACAAAAAAGAAAATGGTAGGCTAATACAGAATTTTAAAATGCACTTTGTACCAGTGTCTATATAGAAAGTAGATGCTGAATACCTCAAATGCCAAGGGAACAAGCAACATTGGGAAGTTGTCACAACATGCTCAAAGACAACTAACTACAACTGTCTGCCATCTATTTCTTCAGAACTAGAACTAATACAACTATCCTTTGCTGTTTTATACTTTGATTACAATGCTATTTCCTCTTGGTTAAAATGTATTTCAACTTTTTAACAACTGATACAATAACTTCACAAAAGTATAACATTAGATTGAAACCCTAAGGAAAAATTGAAATTGCTAATGCTTTTGATCTTTTGGGAGGCCAGTACACAGACAAATTTATTTATTTATTTATTTTTTGAGACCAATTCTCGCTCTGTCACCCAGGCTGGAGTACAGTGGCATGCTCTCGGCTCACTGCAACCTCTGCCTCCCAGGTTCAAGTGATTCTCCTGCCTCAGCCTCCTGAGTAGCTGGGACTACAAGAACATGTCATCACACCCAGCTAATTTTTGTATTTTTAGTAGAGACAGGATTTCACAACATTGGCCAGGATGGTCTTGATCTCTTGACCTCATGATCTGCCCGTCTGGGCCTCCCAGAGTGCTGGGATTACAGGCATAAGCCACCTCGCTGGGCCAATTTCTCCTTTTTATGATACAAAATGACTTTGTATTCAATCAGAAGCATATACTTATGTTATTTTGAGTTTATAAGTTCTCTCATTGTAACCAAATTATTATAAAATAGTATAAAAAGTTAACCGTGGTATTAACAGTGACAGCAGTACATTTTTATTGCAACTTCAGTTGTTAGATTTCGTCTCAGAATGCTATTTTGAATCTATCTAATCATCTAGAACTGTCTGAAAAGATATGTTGTCTTTATTAATCCTTGGGGTTCAAGATAATAAAGTTTTTCTAGTAAGGCTTCCCTCAGTAATGTTCCTATTTGACCATATTAACAAAGATTACTTTTTTAAAATTTTCAGATAAAATAACTTGGTTCTTCCTGCTGCATAAGTTGATTGTTCCAAATTTAAGATTTGTAAGTTTATTCTTATCACTGACTAGGTACCCAAATTCTTGCATTTGTCTTCTTATACACATCTAACACATCACCAAAGACAAAGATACACTCTGGCCCAATCTTTGCTTAAAAATTCCAAAGCACTAGGAGCACTTTAAGTTTGGTCTCGAAAGGAGTTGTTTATAAAATCAAAGGGCTACCGATTCCCTCTTCATCCTGCACTGAAGCACATAATGACAATATCAAACCTTAATGTTCATTGATTAAAAAGTGACTTTCATTATTAAGTGTGTAATTCTGTAGTGATTAGCAGTATTTGTTTCCATCATTTCACTTGGGTGGCCATTAATTTTTGAAACTTTTACCACTCATTGTAGTTGGTTGTAGTTTTATGAAAAATGTAATTTATAGCTAAAGTGGCTTTTTTATGCATAGCTGCCTTTTTTATTGTTTAACAGTGTTTCTCAGCTATATAATCAGTTCCAAACTGGTTGTAAAAGTATAGCTGTGGCCAATGAATGTATTTATTTGTTGTTTCACTAAATTGTAACAAAACACTACTATTAAAAATAAAAGTGTTTGTGCTTTTCTTTAGAGGTCTGGTTTTCTTCATCTCTCATAATGGACTATATTGAGTTTCTATCATATAAGGGTAAGAACCTAATGCTACCACAAAAAAAAAGAGAAAAAAACATCAGGAGTTACAAATGATAGTTTGCCTTTAGTGAGCTTATAATTACTTACATCTGGATGTCATATCACTTAATGTTATATACCAATTTGATATCAAGTGCTATGGAGTTTAAAATGTCAATACATTATTAGATAGTATATATTTATTCAAACATTAAGCTAAGAAAAATTGTTGTATGAAATAATTTATAACACCTCTCTCCTTCCTCTTAGAATCTTAAACAGGAATCCATTTGTCTACCTTATAATCCTGGAAAGGTATTGATTATTCAAGAAATTCCTCAATGATGCTGACTTTTCCCAGGAAAGAAGTTCCTTTTTATCCAGAAGAGAACCCTTTCATGACCCACCAAAAACCACACCAAATATTGAATGCAATTACAGCTTTATTGACCCCTTCAAGTCTACAAATCCTTGGGACTCTACTGACCCTTGCTTTAAAGTGAAGGGAGTGAAAGTATTTGGAATAAAGGTAGGACCTCTAATATAATAAAGATGTCACTTTAAAAGCAATTTAATCAACAAACATTTATTAAACGTTCATATGCCAAAAACTATGCTATGGAGATGCAAAAAATAAAAAGGTTCCTTTCCCTGCCCTTAATGAGCTCACACTCTAGGAAAGAAGACTTTTGAAAAATAAAACAATACAGTACAATTTAAGTGACATACAGTAGAGGTAGGTTGTAATTACAGTGGTGACACAAAGAGGAAGTTAGATGATTCTCCTTGAGTGGAGCAAGGGAGATTTCACAGAGGAGATGCTTATGTCAGGCCTGCAAGATGCATAGGAATTTTCCAAGTGGGGAAGGATGACTAGCACACTTGAGGCAAAGAGTACAGCATTTACCAAGGCAGGAGGCCTGGCCATATGGGGCTTCTGAAGAACTGTGAGTCTGTTTCACCAGAACATTCAGTGGAGGAAGCACATCGCACATAAGAAGACCTTGTACACCAAACACAGGAGTTTGGCTTTCTCCTGAAGGTTCCTGAAGTCACTGAAGGGTATTAAGCAGGGAGTAACACTGTCAGAGTGCTTCTAGAAAACCTACTCTGGTAACATCGGGTTGCAACAGAGAGGAGACCAGCTAGGTACAGGAGGCAGGTTAGTGTAATACTGTAGGTATTAATAATAGCAATGAAGATGAAAGGTAGCGATGCATCAGAGAGGTGGAGATAAAATCAGAACTTAGACACTAAATGATAGGGGGAAGGAGAGGAGAGGCATTAGCCTAGAAAACTTAGAATATAATGGTTCTAAAATTAGCCAAAGTAAGGAACAGAGGCATTAGAGTAAGTTTTGGAGAGAATAAATGTTTTAAGACACAAAAAGGTATCTGTGGAACCACCAAGTAAAGTGCACCAGGCAGATGGATTGAGTTTGGCTAAAGGATTTAGGAATCACTAAATTGAAATTACCCAAGCGTGAGAAGTGGTGTTATGATTAAGAGAGAATAAATGGAAGTCTGAGGAATAACATTTAAGGAATAAGGCCAAAAGGGGGGTCGGGGGAGTGGTCAGCAGTGAGCAAAATGTTAAGAAATCAAGGGAATCTTTAAAGTAGGGGTTGTCAACAATGTCAAATACAGGGAAAAAAAAGTCAAATAATAGCTCGTGAACTAAACTGTGGATTTAGAATTAAGATTTTAGACTTCACAGGAAGGGGTCGTTAAGAACTACAGCCAAATGGCAGATTTCAGTTAAAGAGCCGGTAGAAGGTGACAAATGGAGGTAAGAATATTCCTTCAAAAACACTGGCTGTTTAAAAAAAAAAAAAAAAAAATGAAGGGAGGCATAAAATGAGAGAGAGGGATACACAAAAAAATGGCCTTTTGAATCCACTACTGTATTTTATAGAGAGTGATTATAGTCTTTTGAGTCTCCAAGAAGACTGACTTAATCAGTGGGTTAATGTCTATCTCTTTCTGCCATAGAGAAAATGAAGTGTCAAAGGAAAATAGGATACATTGTTAAACTTACTTCTGTGATTATTAATTTAAAATATACTGAATACATATACATACATTCATCCAACAAATATTTATTAGATACTAAGTATGTGCTTGGCACTGTACCAGGCCTTAGGGACACAGAGAAGAAAAAGTATACAACAGTGTAAACTGACATTTCTTAACCACTATATAAATAAATCCTGCTCCACTAGTAATGTGACATTTCAACATATTATACCTGATGAGACATATGTAAAGAGGGCACATGATTTTGAGGTATATAGCTTCTTTTTCTCTACAATTACCATGTGATATAAATTCCTAAACACCTTCAAATAGTTTTATAAATGAAGAGCTTCCCCTAATGAAAACCTCCTAAAATTACAGTTCAGTTTTAGGGAGACAATGGAAATGAACTTCGTGTATAAAAAACAAAAATTAAGCCAGGTATGGTGGCATGCACCTGTATTCCCAGCTACCTGGGAGGCTGAGGTGGGAAGATTACTTCAGCCCAGCCCAGGAGTAGCTCAAGTCCAGCCTGGGAAACATAGCAAAACCTTGTCTTTAAAAAAAAAAAAAAAAAAAAAAAATTGGACTACCCTATTACTATACACATCAAGCATAAAACGGGCAACAAAACTCAAAAAGAAGTTTAGAATAGAACTTGAAATTATTCTTCATTCTAAGGCTTATAGTATTGTAGTTCCAGAACTGCGGGAGGTTTTTTTTTCCAAGAAAATTATTTTTAGAAATTATTCAGTATTACCCTGAAGTATTTAGGATTAAAGGGGCAAGATGCCTGTAACTGACTTTCAAATGATTGAAGAAAACCTTGTCTGTCTGTGTGTACAGAAAAAACATGAAAGATAAAGCGCATATGAACAATTAGTGAATCTGGATAAGAGAGCTCTTTGTACTTAATTTTGAAACTTTTTTGTAAATTGAAAATTATATAAAAATAAAAAGTGCTCCCAAAATGTTATTTAATATTAGGGAAAGTATTATGAGAATAAATATACAATCTATTCAACTTTTCACAATGTTTAGAAATCTCCTGTGCCTTTGAGTTGTTATTGTACCTTTCTACACACAAAAACAACTCAATCAAAATAGCAATGTAATTCTAAAAGTGATTTGTTTTATACCAATGTATTTTAAACTTGCCAGATAAAATACAAGACTCCCAGTTAAATCTGAATTTCAAACAGATAATTTTTTAGTATAAGTTATTATGTTCCAGGTATTCCATGTAACATACTTACATTAAAAAACTAGTTGTTTATCTGAAATTCAAATCTAACTGGGCAATCTTTATTTTTATTTGCTAAATCTGGCAACCCTAAATGTATTGAAAAATTCTACGTTGTTAATTTTGGGTCATTCATGAACCTCCTTAGCATTTTCCTATTAAATGCTTATCACATTTACCATAGTTTCGTTTATATTACATCTTATTACACAAAATGGTAGTTTGAGAGACTTAGAACATTCACTTACTTTTATCATATATGAATCTGATAATTCTCCTTTTATTCAATATTAAACTTTAAAATTTGTACCACATTATCGAAGTATTACTTTTACTCACAGTCATATTATACATAGACTTAACACAATTTTTAAAAATTTGTTTACTTAATATAATTCTCCTTTACAAAAGCAACTTTATATAAAATGTTTGGCTTAAGACTGTCATTGCTATTATGCCTTTGAATAAAATTCCACTCTTTGGCCTCCATTATCCAGAAACAGGCACATTTCATCTTGTTTTCTTTAATGAATATTTTGTAACAAGTTCCTGAAGTTTTCTAATTCTTTCACACTTGTAGAAATTCTGTAACCAAAAATATTTCACTCAGAAACCATCTTAGGTAAATTTTCTCTGTAAAAGTTATTCACTTTGCGTTTTAAAACAGAACATTTTTAATTTATTTCAACAAATTTAAGGTGTATAAATGATTTAATGTATTGTAATATATTTTAGTTCTTAATTTGACATGGTAAAACTATTATTGTCCAGAAGTTAGTTATTTTAAAATTATTTAAATATGTAAGTATGCCAGGTGCAATGATTCACTCCTGCAATCCCAGTACTTTCTAAGGCCAAGATGGGAGAACTGCTTGAGGTCTGGAATTTGAGACCAGCCTGGCCAACATAGGGAGACCTGGTTTCTACCCAAAAAATTTAAAAATTAGCCAGGCATGGCTGTGTGCACCTGCAGTCCCAGCTACTTGGGAGCCCGAGGTAGTAGAACTGCTTGAGTCCAGGAGTTCAAGGTTTCAGGGAGCTATGACCATGCCACTGCACTCCAGCCTGGGCAACACAGCCAGATCCTATCTCTAATAAAAATATCCTTTCAAATAAATAAAATAGCCAGGTGCAGTAGCTCATGCCTGTAATCCCAGCACTTTGGGAGGCCAAGGCAAGTAGAGCACTTGAGTCCAGCAATTTGAGACCAGCAAGGGCAATGTGGCAAAACCCCGTCTCTACAAAAAAAAAAAAAAAAATTAGCCAGGCATGGTGGTGTGTGCCTGTATCCCAGCTACTCAGGAGACTAAGGTGAGAGAATCTATTGAGCCTGGGAGGCCAAGGTTGCAGTGAGCTGATCACGTCAGTCAATCAATCAATCAACCAAATACATAAGTATGAGATACATAGATATTAAAACACTTATGTATTTTAAGTATTCATAAGTATATTCACTTACTATTAAAGTATGAGTATTTGGCATAAAATATGTAAGTATACAAATGTAATATTTAGGTATAAGTATTCATAAATATATTAATATTCTTACTATTAAAGTATGTAAGTATAAAGTATATAAACACAGAAATATAACTATATATATTTTTAAATGCCTAAGTATATGAATACTTAAAATACACAATATTTAGTAAATTTAGAAAGAATCAAAGCTATTGGCTTATAAAGAATAAAAATATTAAATGTGTGACCACATTGCTTTCACTCTTTTTGTAAATTTTGTTCCTTAAGTGTACTTAGCTTTGCTCTCTATCATGAAAAGACAGTAATCAATGAAATATTAACTATTAAGCCCCTGGATGCTAGAGAAACAATTTTGAAAGTCAATTATTTCAAGCCCAAAATTGTAGTGTTTTTTTTAAATGAGGAAATGTAGTCCTTTAAAAAATGTTAATTTTTATAAATCGCAGCATTTTCTTGCATGATAGGGCATACGGAATGCATCTATACTTAAATATTTTAATGTAAATTCCTTATTTCATGCTTTTCTTTAATCATTTTTATGGGAAATAATTATTTTTAAAAGAGTTATTAACCTTTTTATACAATGGTGAATTAACAGAGATTTACATGTACACCTATATTAAACATGATTTTTCTAGCACCATCACAAAAATTGGATAGCAAAAAAAAAAACTGCTTTTAAACAATTTTTTTTTAATGTACAAATTCCATAAGATGAATACTGAAATACAGCATGCTCCACCACACCTGGCTAACTTTTGTATTTTTAGTAGAGCTGGCCAGGCTGGTCTCGAACTCTTGGCCTCAAGTGATACACCTGTCTCAGCCTCCCAAAGTGCTAGGATTACAGGCATGAGCCACCATGTCCAGCCCTAATTATGATCATAAAAGTCAACAGATGAAAATAAAGAACATCATGTACTAATTGTATTTGTAATTTCATATATCCTGTATATGTTATTTCATATATCATGTACTAATTGTATAAGTTATTTCATAATATCCTGTAATTCTGTAATGAAATGGTTTCTTCAGAAAGAATATTCCTGGCTGGGCATGGTGGCTCATGCCTGTAATCCAGCACTTTGGGAGGTCGAGGCCAGCAGATCACCTGAGGTCAGGAGTTCAAGACCAGCCTGGCCAACATGGTGAAACCCTATCTCTACTAAAAATAAAAAATAAAAAAATTAGCCAGGCATGGTGTAATGCACCTGTAATCCCAGCTACCTGGGAGGCTGAGGTGGGAGAATTGCTTGAACCCAGAAGGTAGAGGTTGCAGTACACTGAGATCACACCACTGCACTGCAGCCTGGGCTACAGAGCAAGACTCTGTCTCAAAAAATAATTAATTAATTAATTAATTAATTAAAATAAAATGAAAAAGATATTCCTTACCCAGGTTTTTTCTGAGAGCATATATGTTGCTTTAGACTTACTTGGCTAGCAGAAGCAATTTCAGAACATTCAAACTAACCTTCCAAATGCATTGAATAATGATACTATTTCTTGTCTGGTTAGATGGAATTCATAACTGGGTCCACTTTCTGGCATATTTGCTATCAATTTCTCGGAAAACAAGATCTTCAGAGCAGTGCCCAAACCCTGAGTCTATAACAAATAAGAAAAAATTAGAAAATTATTCATGCAAAGGGTAAATGAGAAATAGGAATGGCTAGATTTGCTTACCTGAAGCTTTCCCCACAGACGACACTTAAAACAACCAACACAATCCATGATTCTTGAAATATTTCTAAAATGCAGTCGAAAGTCCTCCTGAAAACAATGTAACAAAATTTTATTAAGATGTAATATACAGTCAATTAATATTTTCTGAGTGCCTTCTATGTGCCTAACACTGTACAAGGTACTATGGGGTACCAAAAAGGAGAACATTCATTGATTCTACAAACCAGCATCATTACATATACAATCTCATTTAATCTTCACCACAAATAAAAGTAGATCTTATTATAATCTGCACCTAATGAATGTAAAAAAAAAAATAATAAAGATTCAGAGTTTTTAGGTAACTTGCCTAAATTCCCACATCTAGTAAACAAAAAACTTAGAACCCAGCCCCGCCTGACTCCAAAACTAAACTATCTGCAAAAATATACAAAAATAACTTTGTCAAGGTGTCCACTGTAGGTGATTAACTATATGTCAACAGGTGGAGAAAGGAGGGTGAGGCAGGGTTAGAGGGCATCATTTACCAGAAGGAATGGAGGAAGGGAATGAGGGAAGAAGGCAGAAATGGAAAGGAAAAAAAAATCCTTTGGTTTCTTAATAGTTCAACTACAGCCCTTCTTCCTGGTATGAATATGGTAAAACAAACATATCTTCTTTTGTTAATATTAATATTACTATTAACATGCAAAAATATACAAAATATAGTGAACGCCATGTATCCATTACCAAGTTTTAGAAAAAAACGTCAGAAGTACCATTGAAGGCCCTCAAATTATCTCTCAAGTACCATATCCCACCCTCTACCGCTATACTAAATTTGGCATTTACTGTTCCCTTTTTGTTTTTATGCTTTTAATACATATGTATACATCCATGAACCTTAGAATACTGTATCATTTATAATAGGGTGACATGCATCTAGCTGATCTAAATGTGGTATATATCCTTAAAGAATATGGAAAAAAGGGAAGCCAAGAATACATCCTTCTTTTACTCCAGTGGAAATTACCAACTGATCCTCCAAATGACTCCTGTCCTGGACAAAGAGGAGAATCCCACACTTACAGTATTCTTAGCAGGAAATTTGACATACATCTCAGATAGAAAATCCATTATATAAATTGGCCTATAATTTAGGGAACACATAGTATTTTTCTTTTTTTTTTTTTTTTTTGAGATGGAGTCTTGCTCTGTTGCCCAGGCTGGTTCAAGCAATTCTCTGCCTCAGCCTCCCGAGTAGCTGGGATTACAGGCATCTGCCACCATGTCTGGCTAATTTTTGTATTTTTAGTAGAGACAGGTTTCACCATCTTGGCAAGGGCTAGTCTTGAACACTGACCTCGTGATCCACCCACCTTGGCCTCCCAAATTGCTGGGATGACAGTCATGAACCACTGTGCCGGCCTGTATTTTTCTTTTTTTAAAGTGATAAACCACACAGTGGGCTCAACCAGATGAGGACAGGACCACAAATCTAAAGTAGGAATAAATCAATGACTGGAACCCACTATTCAAAGCAAACCTCAATTTGTTCTGAAGACAGACTTTTCCAAGATGTTTTATTCAGCTTGTAACTTTCAAACAGCTGTAATATGTAAAAGAATTTTAATAGGATCCCAGATGTAATATCCTTATTAATTAAGACAAAGCCCAAATTGTTCACTATTATCATATCTTAATAATAATCTCTATCTTGGTTTCAGTACCTGTTCAGTAAGAAGTACTAATTTTTTTATTTTTATGACCACATGACATCCAAGCAAGAGGTACTAATTTTAAACCTACTTAAAAAAAAACTAACCAATAATACTACTCTACAAAGATTCTGTGATTTGATTTTAGGTTTCCTTTAAACTACAGCTTTGACCAAAACTTACAGAAAAATAATACTTTTAACAATAGTAACAGAGTAATAAAGTTACTCTAAAAAACAAGTTCCCATCCTATGAGCTGTTGACTTCTAGAAGGCTTAGGAATTAGGATCTACAAAATCCACATGGAGACAAGACTGCATACAGACAGAATAACAGCTCTCATGTATGTACTACAAATTTCCAAACAGGTAGAAATGCTATGATCAATAAAACACAACTTTTACTTTAAAAGTGTTACTAAATGCATGATGGCTTTTTGGCAATTGTATTTTCAAAATCAATAGATACTAAAAATACTCTGTCATGAGAAGAGGCCTTGAAAGTTTCTGAGTATAAGAGACTCTCATACCTGTGAGAGTTGGAAGCCTCTGTTCTAAAACAGTGTGCTTGCTTTTGTAGACACTGTCTAATTTCAATGTTTGATTCTACGTTAATTCAAATACTTGAATGTGACAGCTCTTGAGTAAGTCTTTGTATGACATACAGAGAACAGGCATAGCTGCTTACAATAGCCAAATTAACATTGTAAGATTAAAACCAAGCACATCAAAGAGCATGCATCTTCTGAGGTGAACCTAATATGCGAGGGCCAAATTAATAGGCTAGAAATTTACTAGATCAAATTAGTAAAAATTAGTAAGGATTTTATGGGAGAAAATCCTTGTGACTTCCACAAATAACAGTCATGTACAATAACCTGAGTATGTCCCCTAATTATCTTAGATTAGAAAAATTTATGGTCCTTAAAATAACCAGAACCTAAATCACTTACAGATTTTCCTGGTTTAGACATACAGTTTTAAGTCATTACTTTAAATTACAGCCAGTCAACAGAACGAATGATCAAACATGCTGTGATTTATATTCACTGAAACCAACTGACCAATTCTCGCCCAAATTCTCGCCCAAGTCTTCAAATGAGATCCTATTCTATTTGAATTGAATGCTGAATAACTCTCCTTCATGCAAGTCCTCTATTTCTAACCATACATTGATAGGGTATTAAGGAAGCAAGATGAAATTTTAAAAATTGATTTATGACTGTTCAAATCCACATTTACCAGAAACTACTTTTTAAAAAAGTAAAATCTCTGATATTAGCATGTTTTGTTTTTTACATCTTTCCTGTAAAAGATTCAGACATGGTGAAACCCCGTCTCTACTAAAAATACAAAAAATTAGCTGGGCATGGTGGCGTGTGCCTGTAATCCCAGTGACTGAGGAGGCTGGGGCAGGAGAATTGCCTGAACCCGGGAGGCGGAGGTTGCGGTGAGCCGAGATCGCACCATTGCACTCCAGCCTGGGTAACAAGAGCGAAACTCCGTCTCAAAAAAAAAAAAAAAAGATTCAGAAAAATTCTATGTTACATAAAGACTCTCCACCTAGACTTCACACAACATTAAAGGTGAGTGTTTCTGAGTTTTGATCAAATTAAAACACTGAGAAATATTTCTAATCTGCATGATTTAAAAAGAGCTGATGCCAGAACACTTTCCAATAAAGCAGCAAGTAAACTTTAAAAAAAAGGAACGTATTGAAAATAGTAGGAAAAAAGAAGTCTTATTACAGCATCTTCCCCCTCACTTTCTAGTTCCTGGAAGCTGTTTAGGCAGATTATATAAGCACTGAGGTATGTATTTGTAGCAAGAATGCTTCAAGTAGGAGGTAGATGGGAAGTCAAGAATAACTATTATCTAACAGCAAAAAAACTGAGTGCAAAAAATCAGGTTCTTTCATTACAGAAAGAAAGTAAGATGCAGAGGAAGATTTCTGTAAATATTTTGATGAAATCAGGCTGGGTGTGGTGGTGCCTCACACCTGTACTCCCAGCACTCTGGGAGGCTAAGACAGGAGGATCACTTGAGGCCAAGAGTTCAAAACGAGCCTGGGCAACACAGTGAGACCCACCCTCCCCTGACTCAACAAAAAATTTTAAAAGTTAGCAGGGCATGGTGGTGCTAGCCAGTAGTTCTAGCTACTCAGGAGGCTGAGGTGGAAAGATGGCTTGAACCCAGGAGTTACAGGCTGCAGTGAGCTATGATCGTGCCTCTGCACTTCAATAAGACCTTATCTCCTAAAAAGATAAAAATACATACACATATATATATAATATATGTATGAAATCAGACATAGATATATAGAAATCTCTCTATATATGTGTCTATATCTATCATAGCTAGTATCTTTATTAAGACAAAGTCCAAATTATTAATGTTAATTGTTACCATATCTTAACAATATTCTCTATCTTGTGTTTCAGTACCTATTCAGTAAGAGGTACTTTTATTTATTTTTACTACTTTTTTATGACCAGATAACATCCAAGCAAGAGGTACTAATTTTAAACCTATGTTTAAAAAAAAAAAAAAAGTACCCAATATCACTCTACAAAGATTCTGTGATATACATATATGATTTCATGTGTGTGTGTGTATGTGTATTTATATGTAGTTCTGAGGGCCACCCGCCTTTACTTACCAGAGTAATATAATTTTACTTGACCCCCTCTGGAAATCCCTTGAGGGTGGAAGTTTTCTTTCCTTTTAATGACAAACTATCATGCTCTGCATAGTGTGTAATAAATCTTTCTGGTAATGTTTGATATTTCTAGTATGAGGCAAATGCATACTCAGAGATGGTCTTGCCTGAGGGTAGACCCTATTAAGAGGCAAGGAAATGACCAGACCCCATTCTGTGGGGTTTTGAATCTGCTCTTTCCCCTACTGCACACTGATATTCACAACTGTCATTAATTCCCAGTGAATAAGACGAATGGCAGGGGGTGCAATGGCCCACACCTGTAATCCTAAAACTTTGGAAGGCTGAGGTGGGAGGACCACTTGATCCCAGGAGTTCAAGACCAGCCTGAGAAGCATAGCAAGACCCTGTCTCTACTTAAAAAAAAAAAAAAAAATTAGCCAGGCATGGTGGTACAGGCCTGTGGTCCCAGCTACTCAGAAAGCTGAAGCGGGAAGATTGCTTGAGCACAGAATGTCAAGGTAGCAGTGAGCCATGATCGTATCACTGCACTCCAGCCTAGGTGACAGAGTCAGATCCCATCTCAGTAACAATAAAAAAAGATGAATGACAAACCATCACAATGTACCTTCTCCCACTAACGAGAATCTTTTAATTTAACGAATATCATCTTCAGAATTTTCTTCAGCAAAAGATAAGAATATTACGCTACTCATGCATTGGATCTATTCCCTTTATTACCTCTATTTATTACATGAGATCATCAATGTGAAAGGCATCTATAAAGTGTAGCAATATACAGATAGCAGCTGTTACTTTGAATATAATGCAAAATAGACCTTAAGTGGCACCTGCCTTTCAACTTGATTTTTTTTTTTTGAGGAAAAGAAAGATTATGACTCTGATTTTTCCTATAATTTCAAGATGTATATCAAGATTTACTGTTAGGTATAAATACATTTATTTTTTAATTAACAAAAACTGCATACGTTTATGGATACAAATGTGATTTTTAATGTTTAAGTGTACAATGTGAAGTGATTAAATCAGACTAATTAACAAATCCATCACCTCACATACTTAATCATTTTTTATATAGTGGAAACCTTTAAATCTACACTTTCAGCAATTTTGCAATATACAATGCATTATTACCATAGTTACCATTATATGCAGTAAATCACTAAATCTTATTCTCCTTAACTGAAACTTTGTACCCGAGGATGAACATCCCCTTTTTCCCCATCCACCCTCCACTCCCAGCCTGCGGTAATCATCATTCTACTCTCTACTTCTTTTTTTTGTTAATTAGAGACAGGGTTTCACACAATGTTGCCCAAGCTGGTCTTGAACTCCTGGGCTTAAGCAATCCTCCCACCTCTGCCTCCCAAAGTGCTGGGATTAGAGGCCTGAGCCACCGCCCCTACTCTACTCTCTACTTCTATGAGTACTATATATATGGGTTTTTATTCATATCTGCATAAATGTTAATCAGTCTGTATCTAACAATTAAGTATAAAATAATTACCTTTAGTTTGTGTGCTTCTTTTTTATCCCCAGCAAAAAATGAATTTTCATCAAAATGCAAAGGAAATGACCTGCATTTTAAAACAGAGAATATTCATTTTCATGTGTTATAAATATTAAAAGTCCTGCTAATACAACATTTTACTGATCATGATAAATAAAGAGGAAAAAACATAGTAAAACCAACACTCTGATGTCCCAAAACAAATTCTTATCCTTAAACCTCAAATCTAGATTCTAATTGTATAAGACAGAAATTTGACCCCAGGTCCAATTTATTCAGATAAACATGAAAATAATAGAAGTATTAAATAATGAAAGAATGGCTCTTAAAACTAAAAATGTGTGCCTTTCAGTACCCAAGTCAAAATAAAAACAAAAGCAAAATTCAATTCGAAAAGACCTACAAGCAAAATTAACTTTTAATTATGTTCTAAATAGTTTTCCTTTCTCTAAATGAATATTTTAAAAATTGAGGCAGAGCACAGTAGCCTGTACCTATAATCCCAGGACGGACTTTGAGAGGCCAAGGTAGGTGGATCACTTGAGCCCAGGAGTTCGAGACAATCCTAGGCAACATGGCAAAACCCCATCTCTACAAAAAACACAAAAATTAGCCTGGTATAATGGTTTGCACAGATAGTCCCAGCTACTTGGGCTGACATGGGAAGACTGCTTGAGCCCAGGAGAACAAGGCTGCAGTGGGCCATGATCCTGCCACTGCACTCCAGCCTGGACATCTCAAAAAAAAAAAAACCCTTATCTTGTACATTCCTTGTCACTTTTCTATTAATGTATAAATTCTAATATATAATTTACTTGATTTCATGAAGTATTTCCAGAAGTAACATTTTGTTTTCCTCATCCTGAATTTTATTTCCAGTAAAGAGCTGAAAATCTGGGCGCTCGAAGAATGGTAACACTTTGGATAAAGCCCTTAGTTCTATTAAGTAGAGAAAGTACAAGTTCTTAAGTCTTCTTGGACCTTCTCCTTCAGTCAAAATTCCATCAAATCGCTGTTGAAATTCTGTAACGTTGTGTCCCCATTTCTTTTCTAACCAGGTCTCTAAGAAGGAAGAAGAATTAAGTATTAAAAACTGAATTTGATAATTAAGTAATTTTTACTTTAATTATATTAGGTTATTCATGCCTGTAGAAGTTAATTTCATTTTGCATTTTAAATTATATAATAATAACCACCAAGAAAATGCTTTTGCACAATTTAGCCTTTAATAGTTTTATATTAATATTTTATTTTCTAGAACCCATCCTTAAAATGAATTCAATGTTTTACCAAGAAAGCAAGTCTTACTAATAATAAAAATAATTCTTACTTTTTGCAGGTACATAGTATCTATTTATGCCACATATCGCATATTTTGATACAGACATATAATTTATGTATTAATCACATCAGGAAAAATGAAGTCTTCATCACCTCTAGCATTTATCTTTTGTATTACTAACCAATTCTACACTTTTAGTTACTTTAAGATGTACAATTAAGTTGCTGTTGACTACAGGGTTGTTTTTATGGGTATAATAAAAATTATTTACAAGTATAAATAAAATCCTGAGTCTTAAAACTCTGAGTTCTGCTTTAAAATTAAAAAAAAAAAATGTTATGTATTTTTCTTTGAACATGTTGTCTCTCTGCCTGCAAACACAGAATTTTAGTTTCGATTTACATACAGTTAGCTATGCACATACATTATTCTAAAAATAAAGCTCAGGTGCAAGAAAATTATACAGCAAGTGTGTTTGTGTGAGTATCAGTTTGTACCTATTTTCAGAAGAATAGAGCAATATTGGGACAAAGGAAATATTTTAATAAGGTGACTAATTTACTAGAAAACTGAAAACCTCAAAAATGCTGAAAGCAGATCTATACTCTGCTTTTGATTGCATTCATTACTGTAAAATCTTCTGCCCTATGATTCAGAATCTCCCCATGAAAATTTTCTGTTTTTCCTTGTTTGGTACTCATGCTAGACCTATAATTTTCTTGTCTCTTATAATTTTTTCTTTTATAGTTTATGAGGTATTCATTATGTGAGCTGGTCATGACTAATAAGAATGATTTTTATAAAATTTACTAGTGTACACAAAACAATTTTTAGATATATTTCCAAAATTGTGTATTATATTTTATTTAACTAGGACATTCCATTTGTTCTTTTAATTGGAGAATTTTACATAAACCTTTTCTTTTTTTTACTTATTTTGTTCTCATTATAATTGACATAAGTAAATTTATATATTTATCGAGCCAATTTGTTCAGGTAAGAACTAGGGATGCCTCATAAGTCATGGGGATGTTTTTTATATATAAATGTGGCAAACAAACATGACACTGCTTGCTGTGTAGCAGATGCTCCATAATAAGCCATAAATATTCCTGCTAGAGTTAGTTTGTAAGTTCAAGTCAGAGGTGGAAAATATTAATAGTGAAGAAGTAAGATTAATTCTTCATGTGGAGATAACATTTTTCCATGCTGCACAGCTAAATCTTGCTGAATTTGAAGAGAAATTCTGTTTATTTCCTAATTATCCTTAGTTTTTGTTTGTCTTATTATGTGTCTTCTAACTGTATTCATCACAACCCTTCTTCTTTTCCTATGTGATGGCTACAGTTTTCTCACTGGTATCTTCATGCCATGTCATTTTACGTGGTACTTTGTAGGTTTTGATGAGAAAGCTGGTATTTCTAATGCACTCAAAATTTGATTTTAATTAGAGACTTATCAATCTAACTTTCAGATCAGTTAATTAAGAAAATGGCATACACTTTCCACAGGTGAGAGGACTAAATAACTTAGCATTGTTTTTCTCTGTTTGTAAAAGAAAAATTTTATTAAATTCTTACACAAAGTGTGACACATATAAAATTGGCTAGAAAATACATCTCAGAAATTAAATTATTAGGAGAGTTAATGGAAAGTGAAGAATTTTAAACTTAATGTTCCATGATACACTTATAGCACAACATATGTTTCCATGTGGAATCTTTTAAGTGAAAATGTTAAAGGTTGCAAAATAATAAAATGATCTCTGTCGAAGTGAAATTTGGAATAATATTTTTTTTGCATATTGATAATACAACTCTGAGGAATTTCTCACTCTTATTTTATATGATTTTTTTTAATGGGTGAAGGTCAACCTACAGTGTATATTCTTAGGCACCTAACTGTAGTCAACTTCTTGGTCATTTTCTCTGGAAAAATTTTGGAGATCATTGCAACTTTTAGATTAAACCATTTTCTGTTATTTTTTTATGCAAACTTGTTTATTGTGTTCACAGAGTGGGCAGTCATAAGGCCGTAAGCTACACCTGCCCTTTTATTGTCATTCATACTACTACCATCTGTAATAAATAAATCTGTATTTATTTTGTAAAACATAATGTTTGGAAGTATACATATATTGTCAAATACTTAATTCTAGGTAATTACCTTACATATAATGTTGTGGCAAGAGCACGTGACACTGTCAGCATTTTTCAAAACTACAAATACATTATTTTGATCTACAGTCACTATGCTGCACAAAAAAATCTCCTGAACTTATTCTGTTAATTATAATTATGTATTTTTTGATCAACATCTTTTCAAACCTTCCTTTCTCCTAAATATCTTGGGGTCTGGTGCTCACGACTTCACTCTATTTCAATAAGATTAAGTGTTTTAGAATGCCTTTGTAAGTGAAATCATGAAATAATCATCTTTGTGCCTGGCTCATTTCAAAAAATACACTGCCCTCTAGGTTAATTCATGTAATGGAAAATAATAAAATTTCCTTTTTTAAAGATGAAAAAAAATAAAAATAAAACTTCTGAATATAAACATATTCATGAAACTAGAATACACAATTTGAAATGACAATCTAAAATTACTAATGAGTTTAGGCCAGGCACAGTGGCTCACGCCTGTAATCCTAGCACTTTGGTAGGCTGAGGCCAAACCTCATCTCTACAAAAAATACAAAAAAAAATTAGCTGGGCATGGTGGCATGCTTCTGTAGTCATAAGGTAGGAGGTAGGACTTGGCTCAGGAGGTGGGACTCAGGACACTGGACCAAATTGAAAACTAGCTAAAACAGGGAGGGGGTGGAAGAAGCTTTCCATAAAGCACACCCACCAGTGTGCCATGTCAGTTTCTCATTCCCATGGCAACATGCATTAGTTACCACCCCTTTCCATAGCAATGACCCAGAAGTTACTACCCTTTTTCTAGAAATTTCTCCATAATCTGCCTCATAATTTGCATATAATAAAGAGGAGACTATAAATATGACTGCAGAACTGCCTATGAGCTGCTGCTCTGGGCAAACTGCCTATAGGGCAGCTCTGCTCCATGAGGGGCAGTATCTCTGCTGCTGCTGCACCCTGCTGCCACCAGCCGGCCTTCAAACATTTTCCTGGGCAAAGCCAAGAACCCTCCCAGGCTAAGTTTGGCCACTGCATGCTAGACTGGGCAACAGACTCTGTCTCAATCAATCAAGCAATCAATCAATAAATAAAATGGAAGTTTCTATATTTTGTTTCCCAAGAGTTGTAATATTTTAATTCCAGAAGAAATATGGTACTGATGAAAATCAACCACAGTCTCATGTTCAATAGTATTAAAGCATAAACAGCAGCAGGAAAAGCTTTTACCTATTTAAACTCCAGGCCTGATACTGACCCACAAATGAAAAGGTTTTGACACAATAATGCTTATCAAACAGCAAACTGTGCTGTTAGGAGCCATTTAAATTTCCACAAGAAAACAAAAGAATATTTCCAAAGTGATATGTACAATTCTGAGCAACTTCTTAAAGTGAAGAGAGCTAAGAATATGTTGAACTGTTCAACTGTATCTACAGTTCCCACCTTTCTGATTAGTACCATTTAAGAGTGAATTTTTACTGCCTAATATTCAATCAGGTCAATCTTTTCCCATTCGGGTCAATGCCAGGAAAATTTTAAGGATATCTAAAATTAAGAGTGGTAAAGTGAATGAAAGCAAATGTCACATACCTTGTAAAAGATACCTTGCACTCAAATGCACATTAATGCTTGCATGTAGGCCAGATATAAGTCTGTAGAATGCTCTTTTTTCTACACAGAGGCCTAAGAAAAAGCAGAGACTTAGAAATAAAATTTCATATGTGAATCTTGCAGACATAAAATTAATCTCAAGAGAAAAAAAATCATTGAAATGTATTTTAAAGTTTCTAATTACCTTCTAGCCAACTGTAAAAAGTGTTCTCTGAAATCAAAAGAAAAATAACTCATAAGATTAGAAAAATGCCAAAATACAAGTTTTTCAAAAGTTTTAAACCATTATAGCAAATTTGTGGCAAACAGCAATTGAAAGATTGTTTAACCTAACAGTCCAAGTCTTAAATGCAATTTCTCAAAAGGAAGAAGAAAAGTTTGTGGTATGGATTCAGTTAAGTACCAGTCTGCTACTTAGTCTTTAAAAAGCTTTAGCATTGCCTTAGGTAGACCCAGTCTCATAACTTTCTGGTTAAAGTGTTTTACATGAGGTCAAAATACAGAATTAAAATAGTACATCAATCAAGAATGAAAAAATGTGGCTGGGCACAGTGGCTCACGCCTATAATCCCAGCACTTTGGGAGGCTGAGGTGAGTGGATCACGAGGTCAGGAGATAAAGACTATCCTAGCCAACATGGTGAAATCGTGTCTCTACTAAAATTACAAAAAAATTAGCTGGGCATGGTGGTGCATGCCTGTAGTCCCAGCTACTCAGGAGGCAGACGCAGGAGAATGGCTTGAATCCTCGAGGCAGAGGTTGCAGTGAGAGAGATCAGGCCACTGCACTCCAGCCTGGAGACAGAGCGAAACTTCGTCTCAAAAAAAAAAAAAAAAGAATGGGAAAACACTTAGCCTTGACAACAACTGATGCTATGAAAATTAAGGATTCACTACATGCTTTTTAAATTAGAAAAAAATTAATATAGTATCGGAGGGGTACTATAAGTATTTAGCTAATATTACATGCCATTCACTATTTCAAAAGAGCAATTCAGAGAAAAACCAAGTATCACTTATATTCTTATGACCTAATAAGATCATTGTCGATATATTTAATGCCTAGTAATTCTACAAATATGATAATGGTGAAATTAACATGACAGAATGCTAACTAACTGGTTAACATGGTCAAATAACATCCAACTGTGAAAACAACAAGAATGCAGAACATAGCCAATACATAAAAATGTCTACTTGAAATATTATAGAAAAGGCATAAAAAATTATTATAACTCTGTAAAGATTCAGGTATGCATTTGCTACAGAGATGATAAACACTGTACAGTGTGTTTTGCTAAAGTTGCTTATAGTAATGTTAAAAATGAACCAAACAAGCATAAAAGTAATGGAAGGAACGGCAGAGGGACAAAACAATAAATTGGACCACATAAAAACTCAAAACATCTATTTGTCAGAACACTTCATAAACAAAAGCAAAATACAAACCACAAACAGGGTAAAATGTGTGGTGTAAATACAACAAAGGGATAAGATCCTAAACATATAAAAAGCTCATAAACTAAATAAAACTGCTAAAATGCCCACTTGAAAAGAGGCAAATAATATGAATTTTAAAATTCACAAAGGAAAAACTACAAATGATAACAGACAAAAATTGTTGGGCAGGCGCAGTGGTGCGAGCCTGTGATCTCAGTACTTTGGGAGCCAAGGCAGGCGGATCACGAGGTCAAGAGATCGAGACCATCTTGGCCAACGTGGTGACACCCCATCTCTACTAAAAATACAAAACTTAGCCAGGCATAGTGGTGCATGCCTGTAGTCCAAGCTACTTGGGAGGCTGAGGCAGGAGAACTGCTTGAACCCATGAGGCAGAGGTTGCAGTGAGCCAAAATCATACCACTGCACTCCAGCCTGGGTGACAGAGTGAGACACCACATCAAAAGAAAAAAAAAAAAAAATTGTTTGGGCTTATGGGCAATAAAAAATGCAAATGAAAACAAAAGATATATGACTATTACCTACCTAATAAGATAAAAATATGATAATCTTTAATGCTGACAAGTGTTAAACTATTTATATATGTAAAACATAAATATCAAAATGTTAGCAGAGAAGCATATCTGGTAGTAACAAAGGGTATGCTTCCTGGAGTCAAACTGCCTGATTTAAATCTTAACCCTGCTACTTACAAATCATATAATTTTAGTCAAGTTGCTGAACCTCTCTCCATCTATAAAATGGAGACAGGAATAATACTCCCTAGAATTGTTGAAAAATTAAATGAAATCCTATTTGTAAATTGCTTAGAAGAGTGGCACAGAGTTATTAATTATCTGGGGATGGTGGGATTACAAGGGATTTATTTCCTTATGAAAAATTTTAGGGTTCTTTTTTTCAAGATTTTGATCATGAATTAGGGAGTTGGGGATAATACTGGACCTAGGCTTCCAGTGAAATTTTCAGTTCAGAGTATGTGTGTGTGTGTGTGT